AGGAATCTGAGGTGCTCTGCTTCCCGATTTAGGGAAGACCAAGCAAGCAGAGCTGTGCCAACATGCTCTCCAGTCTCAGGAAACTTACAGGCCTGACAACTTACTTTCCTTAGCATATTAGCAGAGCTGGAGAGACACTTCCGCTAAGGACAGCAACTACCCAATCACTGAGGACTAGAGTTCAGGTCCCAGTATTCATCTAATAAGCCAGGCATCCCAAGCACACCTGTGAGCCCCGGGGGGGAGTGTCAGAGGCAGGAGGAGCCAAACCAGACAAAAAACCCCAGGTCCCAGGTTCAGGCACCCAATATCATCTTCTGGGCCACCTGTAGATGCACAGGCACACGAGAGAGGAGAGAGGAGCAAAAGGAGAAAGGAGAGAGAAGAGAGGAGAGACAGAGAGAGAGAATGCCCATATATATTTTAAAATAAAATTGGGCCGTGCATCTTCCCTACAGAGAAGTGCTAATCCCATTTACATCTGCTCTCCAGTGTGAGACAGTTATGGCTACTGGAACAAGAATACTTATATACATTTACAGAGCCTAAATCTTTTTTACTGAATGACAGGTCTATGCAAGAAATATTTGTCCTAATGAATGGGAATCAGGAAACTAACAAAAAGCATCTTACGAAGCATAGACCAGGTCCTAAGACTGGAGATAAAAGAAATTCAATGGTGCCATGCTGCTTTGAGCTGAAGAAACTCTCAGTGTTATAATTTGTAGGAAACAGACATGCACTTGCAAGGCCTTGTTCTCAGCGATGGAATTTCGCTCACTCATGTGACCCTCAAAAGTCCTCGTTTTGGAAATAAGTCTAATAAAGACTCAGGGTGAGCCTAATATGTTAGCTGAGGTCATACACTCACAGCAGAGTCAGAATCCAGGGTCTAAGCTGGGCCACACCTCTGAAGAAAGTTATAGTCACAAACCTCTTGATGATACACTGCTCTTGTTTACAACATTATATTAGCAGACGCTCAACACATACTTGCTGACTTAGCTTTTCTTCTAAATACGCAGTTTCGGTTCTGGATACACCATTTCAAGAGTTCCCTTCCCCATCTTACTAAAATAAAGAATAAACACCAAGCAGTTTGACATGGTTCTGGTATAACAATAACGAAAATGGTGTTAATGACTTCCACAGAGCTGAGTTTCTCCCTCTGCAAACCCCACTGAAGAAGACCAGAAGTATAAAAGGAAGTTCATTCACACAGGCAGAGAGGAGACACTCCGATTGGGGGGAGAGGGTTAATCACTGTCAGGGAAACAGACAATGAATGGAACCATGGGGTCTACAAACCACAGAAGTCATTCTGTTTTCAAAAGAAGGAAGATGTCACTCCAATAAGCAGAGCCCTAAGAAACTTCAAACTAAGTCTTCTTGTAAGCCAGCTAGGAACCACGGAATTAACCTCTTTCCTCTACGGAATTAAAGCCTGTTGACAGGCAGACTCTGACATACAGTCAAGTTTGAGGTGTGGGTGTGGTGATATCTTGCTTGTACAAATAAAGCCTGTCTGAAGATCAGAGAATGGAGCTTGCCACTAGCTAACCATAGAAGCCTAGCATATCTGACAGACATTTCTGTGAAGCAGGATATCCTGAAGGACTAGACCGCCATGTCTTGGTAAGGTTTACAGTCACTCTTTTTGGTGTCCTGTTTGTCCAATTGGTCCCGTTTGGCAGCCAGCTGTTTCTGTCATTTCTCAGATTTTTTTTTTGGAAGTCATTTGCTCAAACTTCCTGCCTACTCGGTTAATACTATTTCCTTCTCAAGTCTCTGAGTTAAAGACTATATAGTACAGTTTTAGCTGCCCTTGTTTACGAGACTCTATATACTTATTGTACTTATTGCATACAGTTTTTCTTATATTAGTTATAACTTTTTTTAGACAATAAGGAGAACATGTGGCAATCTTGCTTGTACAAATAAAGCCTGTCTAAAGGACAGAGAATGGAGCTTGCCACTAGCTAACCATATATGGAATATGCGTTGTACGGAGACAAGGATCAGGATCACTACTACAGTCACTGGTGTCTGAGAACGCAACAGAACCAGGCTTACAAACTTTCCAAGTCACTAGGAAAGAAAGTCGTGGCCACCCTGCCCAGCCAGCAGAGAGAAAAAGCGAGGTTCCCAGGCGCTAAATGCGCACACACTTGTATTTCCAAGTCTATCAGTGAAACCAAAAGTCAAACCAATCGCCTTCGGGCGCACAGCAAGCAACATCTGCTATGTTTCCATTACAGATATTCATTATTTACCCCCCCCGACATCAGGCAACACACATAAACGCTCTTCCAACTCTCTGGAGAACTACAGATTAACGTTGGCGGCTTATATCTACGATGGCAGACTTAAAAATCAGAGATCGAGAAAGGTCCTGGCTGTTAGTTTTCCAAAACCCAGGACGCGGGCAAAGCCTACAGAACCTTCAGGAAAGGCAGGTAGGGGTCGCGGTGCGCCCGCGGTCCGGGAAGCGGGGTACCTGGACGCAGGGATGCCGCGGCAGCCTGAGGATCGGACAGTCACGGTCGCGAGGGCCACTGACAGCGACACGGTGGCTACCGCCTGCCCCAGGGAGCGGCCGGCCATCGGCGCCTGGCCTGGCGGGCGATTGGTTTGGGGTCTGCGGCCGCCAGGCCTGGCGGCGAGCCCCTCAGCGAGCGAGCCCCGCTCCGGAAGCGAGCGAGCCCCGCTCCGGAAGCCAGCGGGCACTAGGACCCGGCCGCGCTGGCCCCGAGCAGGACGCCGACGTTCTCCGGAGCCCGCAGCCGCACGACGCTTTACGACGGTGCCACAAACCAACCTGTCTGCCGGGCCTCCGCGTCTGCGCAGGCGCACGGAGGAGAGCGGCTGGGCGCGGAGAGCGGCGCACTGAAGGCCAGAGGGGAAGGGACGGGGATTTGAGAGGCGAGGCGGGCACGTGTTTCCGGGAGAGGAGGGCCGTGCGGGCGTAACGAGGTACTGAGAGGACGTAGGGCGATGCGGTGACGGTTCCTGAAACGACGACGGTGTGGTTTCCAGAAGCAGTCCCTCGCCTGGTTCGAACGTGCGCGCGCAGCTGACTCAGCGACCGCCTGCGAGCGGGAACTGTGGGCGGCCCGCGGATCACGTGATCGGATGAGTCATGTGACCGGGTCTGAGCGCCCCAGAGCCCACTTCATGCAGCCCGCCGGCCGCGCTGTTAGTGTTTCCTCTCAGTGTCCCATCTGAACCCCAAACCCCTCGTAGACATGCCGCGAGACTGGCACACGGTCTGCATAGTAAACTGAAGAGTGAACGAAGGGCCAAAGCGAGGTCGCGAGTGGTAAAACCAGGTGTGCAGAGCAGTTTGCAGCCTGGCTTTCATATTCTTTGTTGGCTAATGGGACAGATTTGTAAGTTTTAAGTATATAATCGGCTCCGGCCTCTGCGCTTTAGAAACACACCATAAGGTGTGGGCAGTTTTTAAAGCCAGAGCAGTCAGATTTTAGCCTGGAAACGGCGGGACTGTCGGGATGGAACAGCAGTTATAAACTGACTCTGCTGTAACTCGGGTTGCAGCAGTTTAGGGTGTTTGTCTTTGGGGTTATGTTAAACCCGTTAAAATGCCCCGCTTGGATAAACTCAAAAAGTATGGGAAATTTCCTTTTATTCTCCCAGCCCAAATCTGATTACATATGGGAAAGTTCTGAAGCAAAGTAAAGATTATAATTGCATATTCTTTCTCTGCACTCTGGAGTGCAAGCCTGCCACTTAACATTTTCCTGCAGCTGTGATAGCCATCTCTCTGAGGTGCGAGCATTCAGGAACATAATTCACCTTGGGCTCCAGTCCCTGTCAGAGATGGTTGTCTTGCTTCAACTTGAGCCGCTGCCTCCTTTCACGAGGGAAGTTTATTTCTGTGCTTGACAGGTGACGTGGTCACAGCTCTCAACACTCACCAACACTTTAGGCCTTTTAGCGCCATTCCCCAGACTTTAAACATCTCCACCTTTTTGTTTCATGAAAATAGAATCCAGTTCCTAGTGTCGTCTTTCTTATGACAGCAGTAGTCAATAAAACCTTTCCATGTGTCTTTAACTAGTATCCTCCTACGGACTCGTCTTTTTAAGACTTATTTACTTGTATGTGTATAGGTGTTTTGCCTGAAGGTCTGTGCATTCCAAGTGTGTAGTGACCACACAAGCCAGAAAAGGACTTTGGATCCCTCAGGACTGGAGTTATAGACAGTTGTGAGCCACCATACAGGTGATCTGACCCAGGACCTCTGGAAGAGCAGCCAGTGCTTTTAACCACTGAGCCACATCTGTAGCTCAGGCATTATTTTGACAGCTCTTTCAGATAGCATTTCTCTTAAAATACTGTTGACATGAAAGAAAAAACATAGCTCTCAATTCAAAAGGGTCTAACAGTTTCTTCTGGAGCAAAATGTGAATGCCTGTGGCCCTAGGAACACAAATTTAGATTATCCCAAACACCATGTTCCTAGGTGGTAACAATTTGATTACATTTCTATAGCAAAAGAACAAAATCCCAAATCAAGACACTTTAGACACATCAGTGGAAACGTCAAGTAGGCCCCTTTTACAGCATATCAGTGAAATCTCTGATATGGACCTCTGATGTTATATGATGTTTGGGAGAGGGTCTGTTTATGCATTAAAGTTGGATTTATATAATAGTCATGATGAGGGCAATAAATAGCTATTTAGAAAGATAGCTGAAAATAATTTGTCTCTGGACCTGCAACATTCCAACTCTTCACAGTCATGGACTCCTCATCAGTTAGCCAACCTTGTAGAATATTAATGTAGGTATGGCTTTTTCCCCCTCAGTTCAATGTGCATTTGAAAGCAGATCCTAGTAGCTTGTGAATGTAAATTCCAGCTCTCAGAAGCTGGGGCAGAAGGACCAGAAGTTCAAAACCAGCTTGGGTTACATAGAAAACCTTGCTCAAAAAAATGTGTATAAAAAAAATAAACATCAAACAGCATGATGGTGCACATCTTTAATTCTAGCACTCAAGAGGTCAAGAGACAGCGGCAGATGGATCTCTGAAAGTGTGAAGCCAGCCTGGTCTTCATGGGGAGTTCCAGGACAGCCAGAGCTATAGAGAGAACCTGTTTCCCAAAGGGCTGCTTTCTTGTAGAGGGACATGAATAAGAAGCAGCTAATAACATCAGGCCAGGGGAGTGTTCAGTGATTGGGGATGTAGCTAAGTTCTTAGAGTGCTTACCATGCACAAAGTCCCTAGGATTTGTGGGTAGTAATTTCATCCTAGACTCCTGAGGCAAGAGAATCAGAACAGAAAGGAGAAAGGAAGGGCAGGAGGAGGAGAACGGGTGGGGTGTGGGAATAAACAATCTCGTGTGGGCGAGAGTTACTGGTGGAGAGAGTAGTCGCTTTCCATTGTGACAAAGCTCTCCTGAGCTGTTCACAGTTGAGCAGAGATGGAGACATAAGCTGCTAGCCACTGGACAAGAACAGTCCATCTGAGATGACTGCAAACTAAACAGTCTGGGAGAGAAAAGAGCTTGCCCACTTACAACAGAAGGCCAACACGCTAAAGCATTGTGAGCAGGGACTGATAATCTGCAGTGAGGCTTCTCCTTATTTCCTCCATGGTTCCTGTGGAAAATACCTACTTTAAGATGTAACCTCTACGTGGCCCTCTGTGATCAGTGAGATTAAGGAGTATGTTTGCTGTGTAGGTCTTGTGAGATCCTGCTGTCTCCCTGGGGAAAGGTTCTGACTGGCTTCACACATATATCCGACCTCCATTCTTTATCCTTGCTGGGAAGGAAGGCAACTCTTCTAAAAATAGAGCAGCTATCTGACTACCCTGTCAGAACCTGTGCTAAGTAAAGTACTAAAGGAAAATTGAGACTTTACTGCGTCCTGGAATATTTACATCAAGCCTGGAAAAGCTGCTTCAGAATGGAGGAAAACAAATTTCTACTTGGCTAAACCATGATTGAGTTTATTTTTTTTAAAAAATCTGACTTAAGAGTGAAACATTTGATGAAGTTTTTCTAGATCCCATGCTGTGAAACCCTTCAGACTCCACAGATTTAGTCTTCACAGAATAGAGAAGTGCCTAGGAGCAGTAGTGCTGCTTGTGATCCCAGCAGAGACAGAGGCAGAGGCAGCCGATCTGAATTCAGGGACAGCTGGGTTTACAAAGCAAAAGCTAGGCCAGGGAGCGGCTACGTAGTGAGGTGCAGTCAAAACAAAAAGAGGAGGAGGAAGAAATCATCCAAGTTGAAAGTGAATAACAGAAGTTATCATGAGTTATGGTCGGGTAAGCACACAGTAGTCAGCTTTCCATTATCTCGTAAGATACGTGAACTCATGAGAAGGTTCAGTTTGGCTCATGGTTTCCCAGGGCTCGTTGGCTTATGCCCAGGCAGCACATGGTGTGCAGAACACAAGCAAGCTGTTTACTTCATGGGCAGAGTGTGAGAGAAGGAGGAACTGGGGCCAGGGTTCCAACACGCCTTGAAGAGTAGGTCACCACTGGCCCAACTTCTTCCGGGTAGGCCCCGCCTTCCAGAGCTTCTACCCTCTCCCAGGAGCACGGCCGGCCGCCTGGAAAGCTGGCTTGAACGCAGACTTCCTGGAGACGTTCAGAAACCCAAAGCAGCAGAGTGAGAAGCCGGTGACTGGCTTCTTGGTGTGTCACTCACTCTCGTTTCCCCTTTCATTCTCGCCATCTACTGGGTCAAGCGTAGCTTCCCTCTCCATGCCCCATAGTAAGATTTTCTTCTTTCCTCTGTGCTCTTCAGCTTCGCCCCCACAGCTTCTGCTTTTTGACGAGCTACGGGGCAATGAAAGGACTTTTAAAACTCTGACTTAACAAAGCTTGGCTTTCAAGATTAATCCTGTGCTAGAGACTGAAAGTCCCTTGACAGTCACGCCTTTGTTCCAACCATATCTGCCCTTCCCTCTGAAACACTGCAACTATTATTTCAAGGGATAGAGTGCATCTGGCAATAAGATACGAGAATATTTTAAAAACATCTAAAATATTTCAAAAAATTATTCCCATGGCATTTTTCATTTTGATCCTGCAATTTGAGCAAACTGTTTTAATGTCTCTGTCTCCTTGCCTGTAAAATGAGGAGATGGTGATATTCAACATCATGGAGCTATGAGAACTAAGCATAGTAGTTTATAAAATGCCTAACAAATATCATAATAACTGTGTTTTCAAGCGCTTACAAATAATCTGTACAAATTGCCATGTATCATACATGCCACCACATCCTCTAGGGCATCTGCTGTGGTTTCCCTGGGGTGGAAGGTGACACAGACTCAGCACCAAGTTGCAAGTTCGGATTCATGCAACATGTCTAATAGTTTGTAAGGCCTGGTGTGTCCATTTTCTTTGGCTGCTGTAACAAATCAATAGTTTGAATTAGAGAGTTATTATCTCACAATTCTAAAAGTCAGAAATCAGTTCCAAAGTCAAGATGGCAGCCAGACTACACTGTCAGAGAGCTCTACGAGAGTGTTTTTAGCCTTCTCTACCTTCTAGGTCCTTGTGACTACTAGCATCCTCTGGCTTGTGGTCACATCACTCCAGTCTCTCTCTGCTGCTGTAGTCACATTGCCTTCCACCTTTTATTGGCCTCACTTTCATAGGATACATGTGATTTAACTTAGTGCCAGTTCAGACAATCAAGGATCAGAACCTCACCTCAAAACCCTTAATCACGTCCGTGATTTGAGGATTTGAGCCTAGTACATTTGAGGGTGATATCTCAGCTTACTTTATCATGATTCAGATTTGGATCTGAGTGACTGTGAGCTCCAACTCCTAACCAAATATGTGCATGTTCACTATTAAACACCTGAATTGAGTAAGCACTCTGACAGACCCTGTGGGTGTGAAGTAAATGCAACAACAACCATTAGTTACCAGGCTGCCCTTACAAACCAGTGGGTTAGTTGACGGGGCAGAGAGTGGTTTAAAAAGAAAATAATAATCACACAAATAAATACCAAGAATGGCTTACGTTCTGACCAGAGTGTTGGGTTGCTCTGCAGAGGGATGGTAGGAGACCTGGTGAAGGCTGGGAAAGTCAACCTAAAAAGCAACACTTGATATGAGATCTTAAGGAAGAGTATGGGCCACTAGACATAGTGAATAAGCGAAGCCTTAAGACACCTCTGCTGCAGAAGATGCAGCATGCTAAGTGCTCAGAAAATTGAGTTCCCTCTCTCACTCTTCCTTAAGGAATCTTCTAGGGCTAGGTTGGAGAGACAGCTCAGGGATTACTAGAACTAGCTCCTCTTCCAGAGGACATGGGTTCAATTCTCCAGCACCCCTATGGTAATGAACAGCTATCTGTATTTCAGCTGAGAGGGATCCAAAGCCACCTTCTGGCCTCCTAGGACACCAAGCAGGCACATGGTACACAGACATACATACAGGCAAAACACTCATACACATACAAATAAGTAAAATTACTATTAATAAAATAGAATCTACTAGGGCAGCTACCATTGTATTGATGAATGCAATGTGGTTGTAGAATACCCAGCTCCCCAAGTCCTTGGAACTTGCACTGCAGCAGGACATATAGCATCATCTCCAGAGGTCATAACTGAGTATATTTTCATAAATATGTACTAGCGTTGCTCAAGTAAGGCAGAAAGAAAAGAAAAAAGGGAAACTCTTAGTCTACCGTTCCAAGAGACAAGAATTTTCTGTTACTCTGAGTTCTAAGATGTGACATCGTCAAGGCTGTTCAAAGAGCCTGACAAACTCTATGCCATTAAAAAAAGTCTTGGTTCTATCTAAGATTAGCTATCAGGCAAGACAAACGCATTCAAGGACAATTTTCACAAATGTGTTGCTATGTGCTGTTACAAGAGAGATTTCAGAAAATGTACTTTTGTAATTGAAAGTATTTTACAAGGTTTTCATCAACATTTGTTACATGAAAGAAATAACTTAGTTAAGCAGCTAGTTGAAAACGAACATGTATGAATGTTAAGTTTTTAATAATTTTGTTCCCTCTGTTGTGTCCTTTAAGTAAACTCCCACCAATACATTAGTATTTATAACTAAAGAAATACATCACACTAAAAACTACCTCATGAAGTCAGGCATAGGGCATGCACCTGTAATCCCAGCACTCGGGATTCTGAAGCAGGGGGATCATGGTCTTGAGGGAAGCTAGTTCTGTACAGAAAGAGTTGTCTCAAAAAAAAAAAACCGGGATCATTGCATTTATTCTGAGTATATACTGCTAGATGGAGCCATAAGCCATGAGTAGTATAGAACCTATGGAATGGCCGCAAGAATTGTCCTTGAGGACTGCTGTTTTCTAAGTCCCACAGGCACACCTTTAGCAGTCCTATCACTCTGATTTGTTTCCACTCCGTCCACCTCAATCACGCTGTTTAAACCGCCTTCAGCTTTATCTAGCACTCCTGTGATCACTTCTATTTGTCTTCTATACCTTCTCTTCCAGAAACCAATTTCCCACACTGACCACAGAGTGGGGATTTTTTCTTTTAACATCTGAAGTTAGATCACATGGCTATTATTTAGAACCTTTTCAATGGCTCTGTCTCTCCACCAACTTTTTAAAATTTTATGTTCATGATAGATGGGTGTTTTGCCTGCATGTATGTTAAGTGCACTGTATGCATGCCGTGCCGGTGAAGACCAGTAGGGGACAGCAAATCCCCTGGAACTAGAGCTTAGGGTTCTGAGTGGCAACTGAGTCATCTTTCTAGCCACCCTGTCAAAGATTATCAGATGCACTAAAAATTCACATAGTGGTCCATGAGATGACTTGGGGAGTGAAGTGTTTACCACTCAAGACTGATAACCTGAGTTCAATCCCCAGAACCTGTGTAAAAGTGGAAGGGGAGAATCAACTCCGTGGAGTTGTCCTCCACATATGTACCATGGTGTATGTATACACACACACACACACACACACAATAATAATAATAATAATAATAATAATTTTAAAATGAAATTCAAATTACCATAGCTGGCAAGATCTTGCATAATTTGTCTTCTGCTTAGCTGTGGAACTTTCCAACAGGCTCCTCCTTGACAGTATGTCGGCCATGTTCTCCTATCACATCTTTTAGTTAGTCATTGCTGCCACAATCAGTTTTGATTATACATAAAAACCCAGACAACTTACCTATCTGCCATGGGGCTTTTCTGATGCCAAGGTTGCAAGATAAACCCAGAAGGACCCAATATGTTCTGGAGGCCACCTGCCCTCTTGGGAAGTGCAAATGACGTTCCACTGACAACCCATTGAACAATGGAGAGCAAGAACCTATAGATGAATTCTGTCTCATCCTCTGGCTGGAAAATTCTGAGTACCACATGGCTCATCGGAATCACATCTCAAACTCCTACAGGATCATATATCAGTAACACACCCTTGTGTTCATTAGTTTTGTTTTTCCACTGTTTCACAGCTCCCAAATTCATTTCTCTAGAACCCCTTAAAAAGCATGGCATATATGCCTGGGGCTCTGCTTTTCTGGCATGTAAACTGTGACAGTTTATATAAATAGTCTGACAATGAGACTTTAAGGGTAGGATTCTGATTCAGTATAAGGACTTCATGGTAAACAGTTAACTTAAGAGATGATAACTGACAGAATGCAGTAGTTAAATATGTTCCAAGACTTCATTTGTGGATACATAAGACAAGCATTGACTTATGTGGGTGGCCTTGGCTCTCCAGTGGTAGAAGTCATTAAGCTAAGGAATCAAGTTGGCTGGTTTAGAAATGAACAACTCAAATCTACCCAAAATAGGATATCAAATCAAGAGTCATTTCACCATTTAAAGACCACCTAGTTTGGCTAGGTATCTGAGGTCAAAACTTGGGTCCTAGTGGAAAAGGAGTAAGCTCTCAAGGGCTGAGATGAGGGTGTTTGGGGTAAAAGAAAGCCTTGAACTTCCATGACAGGTCAAATCCAACAAAATGAACTAATGCTAAGAGAAGCAGCATGATGCAGGATTGGCCAAGATGGAGATCTCGAAGAGGGGAGGTATAGCAGGAACGTGCAGGGTCCACGAGGGAAAGACAGAGGTCTTGTTGAAGACGTGTGACCATGGTTTACTGAATGACGTGTAAGTTATCCATCTGTGTCCACCTACAGAAACGTCTGGAGGTTACCCCCTGAGGCTTGTAGAGAGTATACCATCTAAGCTGCTGAACAATTTGTTCAGGGGGTAGTTTCTCCCCCAAGGTTAACAGTGAATGTTGCTAGCTTCTGGTGACTGACTGGGCTGCTGGCTGTTATGCCCTGCAGGAAGCAGGTGCACAGTGGGTGCTACAGGAATTCAGGCAAAAGAAGTCAGGATGAGTAATTCATTTTTTTCCTCATGCAACACAGCCCTTTTCTCTCCTGATGAGGTTTTGCTTGTTTCAGCTAGCAGAGAAAAAAAGAGCGAGAGGAACCATAGGTCCCCATGGAACAGGTAGAGAAGAGTGAAAAGCAGTAAGTCAGGGACCAACATAAGAGCAACAAAAGGAGTTCAAAAAGGGAGGGTGGGCAGATGGCTTGCTGCACAAGCTAAGGACAGTTCAGGTCCCCAGCTCCCACATAAACCTAGGTAGACAAGCCATAATAGATAAGCATGACTTCTTACCCAGATTGTCAACGTGAACCTGTTCTTTGATCCAGGGTCATTAACCAAAGGGGAGTGGTATACTGACACTGCAAAAATACAGATAACATGTTTCCTCAGTCCTTTTCCAAACAGGCTTATGCCCATTCAACATAGCAATTGTATACTAGGTAAAAACTTTGTAACATTTACTCTGACACTCATCAAGGGAGCCGGTGTTAGTATTCAGGCATCTGAACCAGCCTGTCCTTGGGGTTCTGGCAGGAAACGCCCTCAGCTGCAGCCACTAAGAGCACCTCCTGTGCACAATTCATTGTGTTCCTTTTTAAAAGGGCCCTGCCTACCTCCCATTCCTCCCTCCCTCCCTCTCTCTCCCTTCCTCCCTCCCTCTCCCCTCTCCCCCCTTCTTCCTCTCCTTCCCTCCCCTCCCATTCCCTCTATCTGTTCCTCTCCCTCTCTCTTTCCTCTCTTTCCCCCTCTTTCCTTTCTCCTCACTCCTGCTGCTCCTGTCTCTGGAGGCCAGTCTTCCTCCTTCCCTTTCCTCTTTAAATAATGAAAAACTCCTCTGCTTAAACCCTGTTGCATGGCATCTCTCAGGTGCCGATTTTCTGAAACTACAACAGCTGGAATACTCACGGCCCCTCTGCTAGAAATTCATCAACACTGGGTGATAAAGGGAGTCTTACTTTCAAGGCACAGCAGATCTTTTGGATCTCTGAGACCACTCTATAGTTATTTCCTTGATCACAAAAATAAACTGGGATATATACTTCCATACCTGATCTTTGGAAGGGGCATTGGGAAAAGAAGGGCCAAGCGAGTCAGAGCTAGTCTCATTCACTATGGTAAAGATCAGCACCACTCTCAAGAGATTCTATAGTGTAGGGTGATCATCTTCATCGGAATCTCACTCGGTGTCCTAATGGAACTAATAACTGGTGAGTGTTTTCTTTCCAATGCTGATCGTTTTAAGAAGTGTGCAGTAGTTTCCTTTTACAAGGGGCAGACACACATTCTAGGGCTTTATGAACCTTTTCACAAATAGAGCTCACAGGAGCCTTACAGAAAATGACACTCTGCCGAGTACTATTCTGGCTCATTATGTTGATAACATCAATTTTCATGAACTCTGTGGTTAGCAAACAGCCTGTGATCTGGAGGCACTAGTGAGACATACAAGTACCAGAGAATGGAGATTAAACTCCGTTGGAATCTGAACCCTGACGCATCTATGGAGTGTATAGAGGCCCAGCTATCTGAGGCACTCCCTGAAGGTAAAATGCACAGTGTTGCTCTTTTTATCATCATCTACTGAGAATAGGTGACATCATGACCTCTTTGGGTTTGAATATCATGAATATAGATAACCACGTCAACTTTTGAGTAAACCCAGAGGAGCACAGTGTTCTAGGTCAGGCCAGCCTGTGCTGAGGATGTATGTGACCCAGCAGTTATCTGCATGGATA